CCGCTGGCACAGCAATGGGAGCAGCGGCAGCTTCCAGCTACTCACTGCCTGGGTGATGCCACCTGTGCTGGATGAAGATAAGGCTGGAGGACATCAGCAGCGGCAGGGGGAACATCAGTGCCATGGGGTAGGAGTGCATGAGGCACTGGCTCAGATCCACTGAAACAGTGCCATGTAACACAATCACAGCATTGCCTAGATTGGAAATGTCCAATCATCAACCTCATGCTGACAAGTCCACCACTAAACCATGTCCCTCAGCACTATGTCTACATGGTTCTGAAATCCCTCCAGGGATGGGGACTCCACCACTCCACAAATGCCCTGGGCAACCCCTTCCAATGCCTGAGAACCCTTTCAGGAAAGAAATTCTTCCTCATATCCAATCTAAACGGCCCTTGGTGCAACTTGAGGCCATTTCCTCTTGTCCTGTCACTTGTTACTTGGTTGAACAGACCGACCCCCACCTCTCCACATCCTCCTTTCAGGTAGTTGACAGCGAGAAGGTCTCCCCTCAGCTTTCTCTTCTCCAGACTAAGCAAACCCAGTTCTCTCAGCCACTCCTCATGAGACTTGTTCTCCAGACCCTTCAACAGCTTCGTTGCCCTTCTCTGGACACACTCCAGCACCTCAATGTCCTTCTTGTAGTGAGGGGCCCAAAACTGAACACAGGACTTGAGATGCAGCCTCACCAGTGCCCAGTACAGGGGTAAGAAAATTTCCCTGGTCCATTATGCCTGATACAGGTCATAACCTTACTAATAATTAATTTTTTTTCTCCAGTATTTCACAGACCTTCCCATGCCATCTTGGCAAGATCAAAGCAATGGGGGCAGAGCAGACTTATCATTCACTGACAGAATAGGACCAGCCCTCCAAAGAATGAGACAATCAGTTTTGCACTACCTCAGGTATATGCCACTTCTCCTGACTCTCCTGATGCAGAATCTCAGAAACATGAGAGCTTTATTTGGTCACCTGAACTCTTTAATTCTTGCATGTTAAGGCTCACATTACTGAGAAAAAATTTAACAGTTTATTAACTTTCAGCAACACTCTTCAGCTGCTCCTACAATTGCAGTACCAAGAGAATATTAAATAGGCAATGAACATTACCCATCACATTATTTATAAATGCTTTCTAATTCCAAACAGAATTAGCTGCATGTACATGGACAAAATATAACCAAGTATCTCCTGTACACTTTCTGATATTTAAAAAGGAAAAATTGTAAAAAATCATTAAAATAAAGGCATTCATTATGTGTCCAGGTTCATCACCTAACTTATGCTAAAATTCCACTTGCTATCTGGAGACCTATACTGACATTTACAGAACATTTAATCCACCATTCCTCTCCAGACTGTGTTCGTAAGTTCTTGGAATCACTGCCTGCTTTGTTTGTGAAGCAGACCTGCTGGGTTCATTCATCTTCCATTATGCCAAATTTTTTGTTTTTCCAGAACAAAATTGGAATTATATAAAAATACAACAGCCCGCATAACCCATCTTGTATTTTTCACTTGTTTTTCAAAGAGGAAGGGGTTTTAAAATGTGGTTTAAAACATTTTGTTTGAACAGGACCATCCACAAATACAATCCTGAGGTCTGCAATTCACTTACCAATAAAATTAAAATCACAGTTTTATACTCAGCATGGAAACATGAATCTTTCTGAATACAGAAAGCCTGCTGATTCCACAGTTCTGGGACACATACATTAAATCATTCAGATCACTGATCATGCTGCTGTCTACCCATTTGTTACGTTTTCAGATGAGCTGCAGTGGAAAGAACAACTGGAAGGTCACAGTTAGTAGGAAAGAAGAATTAGGGTTGGTAAGAGTAGAAAGAGGACCGGAATCAGACTGAATTTATTAAATCAAGGCTTTCTATACCAGGGCAGGGGGTGGGGGAAGAAAAAACTTCTAAGTCAAGCATTCTGAAAACTACATTTTGGATTGAAAATAATCTTCTATATACAAGAAAAACATTAAGTTCCTTATGAAAGCTAGTCTGTGTCTAACACAGAGTTAAACAACTTCTGAAGCATTACAGGCAGGCCAATCCTCCACAAGAGGAGGTAGTGATTTTTTAGGCAAGTTCCTGCAGACCAGGATCTTGGCTCCAAGGGCAGAGGAAGACCAGTAAAACCATATCACCTTACCTTTGTAATTCACTAAGCGCTCTACTTGTGGATGGGCTAGGGTTTAGCCTCAGGAAGTTCTGCTTTAAATTGAGATGAGTGAGGTCTTGGCTATAAAACAGGTTGGCAGGCAGGTGCTCCAGGCTGCAGCATGAAAGATCTACTGAGCTTATGCGCTGTGATGCAACCTGGAAGTCAAGAAGTACACAAATATGTTAATACCATAATAAAACAAGAACATTTCCTTCACCCCTGTAAGCACAAGATAAACTGTTTTTAAGAAGTCAGTGTTGGCATATACTGCTGATCTAACATGGTTTACATCATTGCTGCAAGCTATGGCATGATCTCTTCTGCCTCAGTGCTAAAACCAGGTCCACAGATGGCTAGCAAGGGGAAAAGCACAAAGGTCTGTCAAACTTCAAAGCAGTAAGTGAAACAGATTCATTTTCATCAATGAAGTTATGTGATACTCTATGACCAGAAACAAGGATAAGAGATTTGACATAAACTTTAGCTTAGTCCTTTAATTACCAAGTAACAACAGCAAAAATATAGCGCAGAAGTCTTTTATATTGCTGCATGACTGGTCAGCATTCCCAGGCGAGCGGGGGCAAGGGGATAACAGTCATCACCCCGTCTCAGTTTCAAGGGTCAAAAGCAGGTATTAAATAGCAGAAGAAAGTGTTATCCCATCTGTCTTACTGGAGAAAAAAAAATATCACAGCGGCAAAGCAATGAGCACTAATCTCTTCTCAATCAATGGCCAAGAGTGGCAAAACATGACAAAAACAAAACTGAGATTAGAAGGTTTAACACTACAAAGGGGAAGGTAAAACAAACACAGTACATAGAGGCTAAAGAAATCATACTACCTAGCACTACATATAGCTAGCATCATTCCACAGACACCTATAGGCAACAAATTCAAATAACAGCAACTCTGCCCCTTACCAAACTGCTAGAACACAGCTGGGTGAACTACATCCTGCTGCTTTACTTATTTATTACTCTTTATTTTAAAAAACAACACTGCCATGTAGAATTCCTCTATTTTCTGTCCAATACTATTATCCTTTCACAAAGTAGAGCTCTGGAGCTAGCTACATGACAAAGCACCACCACACAGTGATACAAGGCAGCCTGGATGGTGGGCAAGGAGGAGGGGTCAAATGCTAGAAGGATGAGAAGTGTTTTTGGAGCAGACATGGCTTAGATCAAAGGAGGGGGAGCAAGCAACTTCACCACCATTTTAGCCTTCTGGGACTGCACAAACAGTGCTCAAACAGCTACATGTTCTGTCAGCTGCTCACTGCAAGAGAAGCAATTGTCTCATTTTGTCATTGGCACTTTTACTGGCCTCACATGCTAGGATTCTGGAAGTACAAAGACCACATCTAAGGGACAAAAAGAGGGAAAAACCCCAACAACTCATAATCAATGCCCAGTGGCAGTCTACAAGAGCTTCTGAACTCTGATGAAGGAAACACCACCCAACCTTCATAGAATCATAAAATCATAGAATGGTTTGGGTTGGAAGGGACCTTAAAGATCATCTAGTTCCAACCCCCCTGCCATCAGCAGGGACACCTTCCACTAGATCAGGTTGCTCAAAGCCTCATCCAACCTGGCCTTGAACACTTCCAGGGAGGGGACAGCCACAACTTCTCTGGACAACCTGGGCCAGTGTCTCAACCTTCTGGGCAGGGATACAGCCCTTGCCATGAAATACCCTGAGCCTAGAGACATCAAGTTTTGCTGGCATAAGTGGCGTAGCTTGTCACTGAAAGGAAGGCCAAGGAGTTTTTCCTTCCTTTTTTGTTCCTCTCAAACGCAAGCTACACAGGCCTCAGGATAAGTGGTCTCTGTTATAAACACAGCCATAAGCTTGGAGAGGAACAGACGGTGCAGTGTTTTTCTCTAAAGAGACCGTTAATAATCCAGTCCTCCCACATCCCTTAAAATGCTCGGATTTTTATTACTCAATTAGTTCAGTCCTTTTGTTACTGTAGCTACTATTTTCCTTCCCCTTGTAGTATTAGGCAAAAATTATTCATAGGCTATTCTGAGCAGTCCTTTCTGAAAGCTAGGTATTCAGTCTGTTTATGGTGCCAGAACCTGCCCAGTACGGTACAGCTCTCATCACACTGAGAGCACAAGAGATGAAAAAGCGCTGACACCTGTTAAATTAAAAAGGAGAATGTGTAATTTCAGGTGTAATGCTTATATACACTGTTGCTCCAACTGCTTGTTTGGAATGTGATATGAACAGTAATAAGCAACCCAGCAGTGCTGAGCAAGGCACGTTACTCTAAAAATAACCAAAGTACCAGAACTGGTAACTCCCGAGTGTGAACCACGATAAAGCAGCCAAACAAATCCAAATTCTACTCTTATCTCAAAAAAAGATGCGAATCCCTTCTTAAAATCATCAAGCCCTGTGAAAAAAATCCAGTTAAAAGTAATTTTGTTTTTACAAGTTGTATGTTCTAGTTATTTTTGCTTGTTTGTTTTAAAGGAATCACTTTGTTATATGAAGAATTTAATGAAGATTTTTATGCTATTGACATATACTGAATGATGCCTCTACCACAAAGAACAACAGAAGCTAAAACCACATTTTGAAAGGTGTTAGTTCTGGAATCAACTGTAATTTTACCGAAGTATTTTTTTGTTAGCAAAACAGCATTCTAAGAATTAACTTCTGAATTGTTATAAAGAATACTCATATAAACAAACAGTTATTCTCACAGGCAGAGATAAAGATTTTTCTCTTTTCATTAGTCAATACTGTTCCTAACAAATTCCTAGAGAATAGAGGGACAAGATGAAAAAACAAAGAGTGACAAAGGAGAACAATATCTTAACAATACTTTCTTTCATCCACCAGAAATTTTCATCAGTTGTTCTGAAGTTGAACACTAAAATTCTGAAATGGTATTGTTCCCAAACCAAAAAATAAAGGGTTATTTCAATCTTGTAATCATCTTCAATAGACTTAAATGCAGTAAGACTGTGCATGTGTGTGTCTGCCATTGTTTATTAAGAGTAAAGCATTTTTCTTAAAGATGATACAGTTTTTAATAAAGCAATGGGTTTTCCTTGGCTCACTGTGGGGAATCACTGGAGACATAAGCTGATAAAGGGTAAGAAAACGCTGACTAGAATATCCCTCACAGTCAAAGAATAAAAAGCATCTGGAGGAAGGGACATTATCTGCAGAATGGAGGGTTTCCACTGGAAGAAAAAAACAACAACCCTAAGACATTCAGCTGTAAACAAACACCCTAACAAGTTATCTGGGCTGGGTTCAACAGACCCACGCTCCAACCGAAATAGTGAGGAGAGTCAGTGTGGTAGCAATGCTAGACGTAAAGGCTTTGTAGATGCATGTGGAACCTGTATCAAGCACTCATTATGGCTTGCTTGGTGTTTTCTTTTGGAAAACTTAAAAATGTCAATATATAAAAACAAAAACCCAAGCAGCACAGCTCATGACTTCCTGGGCAGAAGAAGCCCTTGCCCAGACCAACCCGTCTAGGACATCTCATCACATCCGAAGCTGTGTACATCCTTAACGCTTGTTTTCACATGAAACCCCTGTTGCTTTTTCCAGTACTAATAACATGGGGGAAATGGCTGAGGCAATAACCTTCTTGGAAAACGGTGTATGACACCCTCTCAGTTATGGCAGCTACAGCATAAGCTGTAGAGTCAACACATGTCTTTGCCGGAGAAGCAAGACAGCAGGGTAACTCAAACACATAGCAAGATCTTGTACTTTTTGAAGTCCACTTTTCAGTTGGGATTTTTAATCATCACAAGTATGAAAAAACAAGATGAAACATGTGACTTTCTCCATTCCCTGGATATGATTTTGAAACACTTTATGGTCAATCACTGTACTGCAATGTCTCCCAAAGTAATACTAGAGGAGTAGTAATGGGGTAAGGCCAAATTCAGCTTTGCACATCAAACCACAAAGTCCAATGGAAGACTTTTTTTCCAGTTCCTGTTGCAACCTCAGTTATGCAGCCCTGGCCTACAGCGGTTTAAGGTTTTGGGGGGGGGGGGTTGTATGTTTGGGTTGGTTTTTTTTTTGTCTCCATGTGAGCATGGCATACTGAAGTGCAGTTTCAAAGAAGTGGTATACAACTATAGCACATGTACTACAAAGAGCCCTGGATCCACCCATTGCAACCATCAAAAAGCTGTCATCGTGCCTTTAATTTTCCCCCAGCCACAGTAAAATGAAGCTTTATTCTGTGAATACCATCACAAATAATGCTGTTGGAGAGCTCTCTCCCTCCCTCCCTCAGGCAACACGCCTTCTGCTATTCCACACCTAAGAGCTGCACAGACAGCAAAGAACTAGGATTCTCTCAAATATGGAAACTCACTTTTAAACACGTGTTACTTGTGCTACAACAGTACTTAGAAGTATAAACAACAAATCACAAAAGCCAGCAGTACCTTAAACAAAAGGTTTCAACAAGATCTTTTGATTTTAATTTTTTTACTATTATTTTTAAAAAGGAAACAGTATTTCAAGACTGGTGAAAGTATATACGGTGAACTGGTTTCACTGTAAATCTTTAGCAGCTGGCAGCAAAAATATAGAAAAATATTTTTGTCAACCAATATTCTTGCCTCTTCTTGCTACACAGGGCTAAAAAACCACTTTGCTTTGTCCATCAGTATAATGCCACCTCTGTCACCGAGCTATGCAACAAGACTGATTACTGTCTTTGTTTTAAAGCCTTGGCAATCCTACAAAAATGATCTGTCGCTGACAATGGATGTCAGCGATGGACACAGCTGAACCCAGCTGTATGGACAAACACAAGCCTTGTTTACACAAGGACATCTTTTGGTGTGACCTGTGGTGTGAATTTAAACCAACATAATTATGTCTTTTTCCTGTTTACCCTCATTCCATTCCCTATAGCTCTATTCAGATAAGAAATTACTATTTAGGACTTCAACAGAAGACAATTAAAATAACTGAACAGCCCACACGGCAGAGGCAGCCAAATTCCCAGTCTGTTTGAACTGAGTTGACAATGTTAAATTGCACCTGCTGTAGACATGCTAATGCAAAGGCAGTGTAATTTTTCTCCTTTAGGATTTGTTTCTAAACAGCTTGATAATCATCACATCCCACCAATGCCTGCATAAGGCTTATCTA